TATTTGAACTGGTGAATCATGCTGAGTAGCGTAGCTGGCGGCGATATATTTGGAATGCAATGTGTATCCATGTATAACGCAATTTATGTGTATAATATTTGTAGCCTGAGGTACCTTTCGGTTAAAGGAGAAAAACGTAGATGTACACGAAATACGAGTCGGGGTGTCAAGGAGAGCTTAGGTGGCGGTAAGTAGAAGACTCCACGTTTCGCGTATTTTTGGGGAGTGGACATCACTTCAAATGGAACAAGTGGATCAATTCTTCCTTGACAGTCAAGCAGAAAAGTAATATTAATTAGTGGTTGCTCCTAACTATTCTTCCCTAAATTTCGGTCAGATCAACCATTGATAAATGTCTCTTGTGAGTGCGTTTAGTAGTCACAATCAAGAAATTATTAGTCAATTTGTACCTCCTCGGCGGATTCCTTAGCCCAGAAAAAAATCTGTCTTGCATTTATTTCGTGCTCTAATAAGACTTAGTTAAATAAACTAACTAATTAGTATTTTCTTTGTTAATTTTTCCAAGAGTATGTTGACTACGGGGCTAGGATGAAGTGTCATCTTAAACAAAACCTGCATGAGGAATTCAGTCATTTTTGATTTTGAAAAACTCCTGGGAGGCGTACAAAGCTGCCAGTTTTCCAAGTGTGTTCTACCATTAAACACATGGCACTACAGCGTATTGTGACCAACGAAGGCGAACAGGAAACAAATTCAACTACAGTTTTCCACTTTCCACTTTACCAATTTTCTTCACTGCCTGCCCTATTTTCCCATCCCCAAAACCCCTAAAACCACCGTTTCCGTAGGACAAAATGCTGGGACTAGGGGTATATGAGGTGCACTACTTAAACTACCTTTGCTAGACGTTCTTCCAGGTATTTAGGGACGATCTTGAACTCAGCCTAAGAATACAGTAGTTTTACAGGCTGACGTTGCAGCCCATCCATCAAAAGAAACTCAAATAGATGCACTTTATTTCGACAGGTCTGGATAGAGATGCATTTTCTGAGTAAGTCACAAAGTAGGCGTACTCACCCTTGCTAAAAGAAGATAGCACAATTTATAAAGAACCCTTTACGGAGGGTATAATTGAAAGAAAGTTAATTCAGCAATCAGACATTAACAGCAACATCTCGTTAGGGTTTCAAAACACAAGTGTTATTATCACTGCCGCGGACATGCTCCCCAAGAATAAACTACATGCCAACACAAGGAGTTTCTACGAGTTATGCACCTAATTAACAGTTTAAGTTTGTTTAATCATTCGCAATACGCCGTTAATTCTTCTGCTGTTGTGAGAAACTGCAAAAAGTGAATAACTGTAAGGCAACTTACTTGTGTGTGCGTTTGGGCCACCAGGGTATCCTCAAAGAGTGCGTCTTTGGTGGGAGCAGTCTGTTTTACGTAAAGAGAACCAACAACAAAGCTGCCCTGCTCGAAGGCGAGATTACCATCAAGCATTTTCTTGTTTACGCACTCCTCCCCTTCTGCATGCATATTTAGCGAATTTGACAAGTCCGGTCCAGCAGTACCACCTCCGGCCAGCTCCGCACCAGATGACTCCTGAACCGCTTGTAAGCAGGGCTCACGTTGAGTCAACTCCCGGATTAGCACTTGGACGTAGGGGTCATTTTGACAATCGCGACAACTGCCCTGAGGGGTGGTATTAAGCTCTGCGAGGAAAGCTTCTGATTCCTCTGGGCTTTCAAAGAAGGACACGTGCTTGTACTGCATGCTCTCATTTGACCGGGAGTGGGCGGTTGCGGGCTCACAAGACATGCAAGACCGGGAATTTGACGAGACCTAAATGTCAAACAATTATGCTCAAAAAAGTGAGAACACACCATAACAGAGAAAGGTGAGTCAAGAAGTCAAATAAAAAAAAAGAATCAAAAAGTCGATTCAAGGCATAATGCACTCGAAGCTTATCAATTTCGTTTGTTTTATATGGTTTATAGATTCCGTGGACAAAAAAAAACACCGCGTGAACGATGATCCCATTGGAAACAAAGTATAACAAGATGAAGCAAACGACAGTTATGTAGAACCCTAATTTTAATATTTTACTTTGGCATTCGTTCAGTTACATATGAACCACCAGTCTGGAGGAAATAACAGTAGCTAGCGCCCGAGATTACTCATATTGAGACCGAATTGAGCAGCATATATCTAAGTTCCAAACTCTAAGCTGATACAATGGCAGCGGAAAAGCACGAGGACTGTTAATGGATGTTCGTGTCTGTTTACGACCTTACAAAGCTAAGGTTCTGCAAATACACACGATAAAAATGCCGGTACGCATAAGGACACAAGTCAGCCAAAAAAACGGCTAAAGGACCAACAAGTTTGAGAGGACTGAAAAGTGATTTGTTTGGACAGTGTCCAGTAACTTAGGCACAGATATTTAGGACTGGAGTTCAATAGGAGGGGTAAGAGAAGCCAACTAATGAATTCTGATAAAAATGGGTTGCAAGACTTTCATTAGTTTTGTTGGAACAGGCCGCTGTCCCATGTGGGATATCTGACCTATTCTTCAAAGCCACAGAATGGCGGGGTGCAAGTTCTACTTTGAACTATATGCACCAATAAGTTTGTAAACTTAAATAAGCATAATGTGATAGTTGATCCGATATTCATGCACACACAAATACTGGGTAGGGCCAAAGGAATACCTCTAATGGGTCAGAAAGAATTAGCTAGGTGTGAAATGAAAACATGCGCGGATACAGAAATAAGAGTACCGGCGTAATTTCTCGCTCTTATTTAAACATTTTGCCAAATACGATCAAGTTAACCTATGTAAAATTGGACATCCAAATATACGAGGATCAGAAATGGTACACGAACAGACTTATAAGCAGAACAATTCCGTATACTAGTGATCTGAGAGCAGTCAAAATAAAGTACACATAAAAAACTTTTCTCACAATATCAGTGCCTGCGACAGCTCCTTCCTTGTCATTATTGCACGATGTCCCGGAAAGGATATTTTTTGGCGACACTCCCGACCGTGTGTGGATACTAGTGCTGAATTCGGCATTTTGTTGTCTCTCCTCCTCGCGTTGTCTCTCCATTTCGAGGCGCATACGAGTGTGCAGATAGTGCGTTTTTACTCTCACCGGATTAAATTCAATTCTACCGGCGGGATTCCGACAATGGTGGGGACTGACGCATGAGCAGGGGAAATTGAGTCGATCTACTTGGCAGGTTATCCCATTTTTGGAGCACTGACAGGACTTGGGATCGCAGACACCGTTAGAGCAAGTGCAGCCACACTGAGTCCGACTAATGCGAATGGCCTGACACTCCGACTTCTCTGTCCCATCGATCTTTTCAAGACCTGAAAACAAAACCGAAAATACGCTGTTATATGTATACATATATCACAACAAATAAAATTGTGATGGGAGAACTCAGTTTTTAGATTACTTAACCAAATTACTGACAAAATTCCGAATAATTTAATCTTATAGGTAAGTCGCATATGCTTACAACAACTCATACGCGTCCATGATGAATAAAAAATCAGAAGTACATCGGTGCGGTTGAAAAGCGGATACATCGAACATCTTGCTACTGCTGTTGAGTGTTTTCTGGACACTATAATAAGTCTTTGGAGATTCTGAAACCAGAAAAACGGTTTCAAAGTTGTACAGAATAACTAAAAGAACCAACTATGAGAGGCCCCAACAGCGTTCTTAGGACGTATCCTACGTATT